TTTTTTTGAGACAAGATCTTGCCATGCAGTTCAGGCTGACCTTGAGCTCACTTTGTAGCCCAGGCTGACCTTGAACTCCCAGCAGTCCTCCTGCCTCATCCTCCCGAGTGCTGGGACTACAGGCGTGCACCACCACACCTGGCTTTTTTACAATTATATTTTCATAATTTTTGTATTTATGCTGTATGTGATGAGAAAGTTTTAGGCTCTTGTTTGTAGGACATTTTTTATGGAAAGAAATTGTGTTCTACCCTTCATTAAAAAGCCAATTGGATTGTAACCACTAAATTTTTTACCTTTTATAATACTAGTTTTTTGTTGAAACATATCTGTGTATTTTTTAAATAATTTGGTTAGTGAGGGTAGGGAATGAATTGAACTCCTACGTCTAGCAATAATCCTAATATGATACATTTGTAAAATTATTCTTTTTGCATTCATTAACACAGAAAAAAAAAACCACAGTCAGTAGTCCCTGAGTTTCTTGTCTTTAACCAACAAGCCATTATTCATATAAATAAAACAATATATCAAAACATACAGCTGAAAATAAAAACAAGTTGAAATTGCATAATAGAGAAAAGCACATAATGGCATGAGGTTATCGGAATGAGTTATGAGCTTCCTCAGCTGGTTCCCACTAGCCCTCCTTGTGGGTGAAAGTCCTCAGAACATCCTGCTTTAAAAGTAGAGTATTAAGCTAGATGCTGCAGCCCACGCCTGTCATCACAGCTAGCTGGGAAGCTAAGACGGGAGGATCACAAGTTCGAGCCCAGTCAGGTGACTTAGCGACAGCTTGACTCAAAAAGCAAAGGGCTGGAGATGTAGATCAGTGGAGGGAACTTGCTTAGCATGAGTGATGCCTTTGTTCCAATGCCCAGTACCGCAAAAAGTAGGATAATCAATTAGCTTTTAGAAACTGATAATGATGTTTCTTTAAATTTCACTTATAGTTCTTCAGTATCTTGGCACAATTTTGTGAATCCCTGGAAATTTGGGATTACCACTTGTTGAGAATTGTTGTATCAGATTATTTTGAGGTCCCAAATAATTCTAGTGTTCTAAAAAGCTTGTAATAATTTGAAAATTGATACCAATTTGTGGTTTCTATCAAAGTTGTAGAGAGATCGCAACACTGCTTCTTAGTGTTGGAGGCAGCTCCCACGCACCCTGTTTCCCATCAGCAGGCAGTCAGAAACTCCTCAGTCATATAAATTGATGCTAGAAGACTAACACTGTTCATCCTTCCTTTGCATTGGGTGCTCTCCCTAAATTTGTATATGAAGACTTAGATGTTCATCCTTCATCTTTCCACAGCTCCCTCCCTGAAATGATTTAGCCAAAGTGATTTAGCCAAACCTTTTGGGACGATATTTTATATGTTACACTTTTTGACGCAAATAGTGCTTTTAATAAAGACGCTCTTTCATAGAGGAAATCTGTTTCCAGGTTTACTATTTGCAAATTCATAATTTCTTTAAATACAAAATTAGTACTCCTTTTAGTACTTTCAAATGCCTTCTAGATTTTATACTTTAGGATTTGATTTAAATGTCTCCGTTTACCCCTGATAATTTTAGCACTGAATCATGACTGCTCTTAGTTCTTCTTTTGCTAAGTTGAGTTAGTATGCTTTTTGTTTGTTTGTTTGTTTGTTTGTTTGCTTGCTTGCTTGGTTGGTACCAGAAATCAAACTCAGGACCTTGCGTTTGCCAGGCAGGTGCCATGCCACTGAGCTATATGCCTGGCCCTGTTTGTTCTTAAATGGCAAACCTCCCGTGTCTTATATCATTAAACATTGCTGCACTCGTATAAGCATGGACAAGCTCTCTAACCTATACGGAGATCCAGTTACTCTATCTATGAAGAGGAGATGTACGTACCTAAGCTGTAGAAAGGATTAAATAAAATAATCTGCAGTGTTTGTAGTGTACCTGGCTTATGGGCAGTAGCCCATAGATTTTATTGGCTATTAGTGTCCTCATCATCAATTCCCAACTTCCAAGCCTATGAGACCTGTTTCTTGGTGAAGGTGCAAGAAGCAGAACTTCTTCATGGGGTTTTATGTACATATATATAAGCTCCAAAGATGTTTATAAGCTGAATAAGTATCTTAGTTACTTTTCTTGTTGCTGAGACAAAATACCCAACACCCAGAATTAAAGGGGGAAAGGTTTATTTAGCTCACAGTTTGTGGAGGTTTCAGTCCATAATCAGCTGTCTCCAAGGCAGGGTGGCTTCACAGAGAAGCATTACAAAGGAGACACTTTCCATGGTGGACAGGAGGCAGCAGAGCAACAAGGGAATGTGACCGCAGTGCTTCCTATCCCTTATATTTTATTCAGGCTACTTAGGGTGGGTAGTACTTGCACCCTTTATCCTATCACCCTTGATCCTAGCATTGCACCATGAATCAGTCACACACTGTAGACCCAGCCACCTCTGGAAAAGACCACCTATGAGCACATGAGGCTTTGGGGGGACATTGAGACACAAGCCATAACAATAAATAATATATCTCACATATATAAATGACCAGTTTTCAAATATATATATATATATTTATATATATATATAATGTGAATAATAGAAAGCAGCTTTATTAGAATTGGTAAAGAATTCATAGTAACTTTCTGATATAACTTTTCTAATATCATAGACTTTTTTAAAAAGTTAATTTATGTTGATGGTAATGGGGAGCTTTCAGTGGCAATGGTTGCGCCCAGGGTCTCTATCATTGTTGTATGTCTTCTTTTGGGTTTGCCCGATACCATTGTCCCTGCTATTGAAGTTTGATGATCCAAACAATACAACAGGTTTATACGGATCACAGTTGCAGACAGGGTTTCAGTGGGTTTCTTTCTACTTCCCGTACACCGATGATGGCCTCCAATTATTTGTTGGCATTCAGTTAAAATCATATAAATTGATGCTAGAAGACTAACATTGTTCATCCTTCCTTTGCATTGGGTGCTGTCCCTACGTTTGTATACGAAGACTTAGATGTTCATCCTCCACCTTTCCACAGCTCCCTCCCTGAAATAGCATTTATCATACATGTATCGGGTCTCTTGTTGCATTGACAGAAACTGGGTTGAAACTGGCATAGATAAAATGAAGGAATTATTAGAGGAACTCCAAAGCAAAAGTTTACATGAGCAAACCAGGGGAAAGCGGATACAGCCAGGCTTCAGGGATCCAAACACTGCGGGGCCGCCTCCCAGCATGCTGTCTCTGCTGGCAAACTGCTCTCACAGGTCAGGAAACAGCAGGTGCCACAGAGTCAGCTGAACCACGCTTTCCCTGGCTCTGTGCTCAGAAATCCTAGGGAAAAGCTTTGGCCTGTTTTATGGCAGGTATCCACCCCTGAATCACCCAACTCTGGCCAGAAAGGTGGAATATTAAAGTGGCCCAGCTTCAGTCAAATGCCAGCTCCAGGTCAGTCTGGAATAAACTCTCCAGGGAGTCATAGGATTAGAGTGCAGAGAGGACTGTTTCCCTGAAGAGGTGCCTCAGAGAACTAGCTGTCCTGTATAATACCGTGTTTGGGATGACGGGTTCGTAAAGCATTCTTCCAAGTACAATGTGCGTTTTTGGAGCAAGATGCACTTTGTTCAGTGCTGTGTCCCCAACCTATCAAGTGTCTGTTGTCAATATTTGTTGATGAGGTGATGATCTAATGAACTAGTAGTATAGGGGGCATGCACAGTGATTACATCAGGCTCTGTCCTGTCACACCTAGTGAAAACAGCCTGACAGTTCTGATTGTAGTGCTGACTTGCGACTCCACACTCTCAGCTTCGGGCTCTTGCTCTGCAACATTAAGAGCACCTCTGTCCAGTGATCGTTCCGTGTAGATAAGGGACTGCACTGAAAGTGAAATTTATCACAGGCACCTCCAAGTTACGTGCATGTGTCAGCACATGCCATGTGTTCATCACTGCCTTATTACAACCAGAAAAGACAGAGCTGTCCTTTTGGCTGAACCCGATGGAAATACCTCTTTTTGGTGTCTTTTCACCTAGGGTAGATCCGTCTTCTGATTTAAGTGAAGAGAGATTAATTTTAGTGCTGAATAGTGACCCCTTCCTCACCCGGTGGATAATAAGGGGATATAACCTCCCTAACCGTCACCTTTGTACTCATTTTTAGGTTTTTGTCAAGCAGGAAAGGACCTGCGTCTGGTATCGCTCTGTATGGAGCAGATCGACATCCCAGCAGGGTTCCTTCTGGTGGGGGCCAAGTCTCCCAATCTTCCTGAACACATCCTAGTCTGCGCTGTGGACAAGCGCTTTCTACCGGATGACCACGGGAAAAATGCACTTTTAGGTGAGTATTTCATGCCTATAAAATTCCTTATAGGAGGATGGAATTAAAATGCAGTTTTGTTTATATTGCCTATCTATCTATGAATGAATTTGTTGGGGCTTACATAATTCAAGTATGAAAGCTTTTCTCTTAGTAATTTTTTTTTAAATTTTTTTTTTAAAGAGTAAAAGAAGGATAATATAATAATGGGGGGGCTTACCAAATTACAGACAAAGTGGTAGGAAATTATCAATGGTTATTGTTTTACATATTGTTATCCACAAGATAGTTTCTCAGGAAAACAAATAGACAAATAATAGTGAGTTACAGACAAAAGAGGTAGATTATCAATAGTTG